TTGTTAACATAAATTCCCGCCAAAATTGAGAATGACCATTTAAGATTTAAACTTGTGCTCCCATTCGTCAGATATAAGTTGGATACAGCTTGCTGTACAGATTAGAACAATTGAAATATACTACTCCTGGAGGCTGTTTTAATACAGTATTACAGCCCTGTTTACACAGCAAATTTTGCTTTATTAACCATGGTTGATACAACTTTCTTTACCGTGGAAATAGGCTTTAAATATGTTAACCCCTATTGGTACAGACAACACTGACACAAGGGTCACACTTGTCTGTGTTTTCATAATAATAATTTATATTAGAATTATAGTTTCTTTGTCCAATATGACAATTTGACCTTAACATGTGTTTTAGGTAATGCTGCACATCAAGGTTTATGACCCTCGTTTAAGATCCTCAAAATCTTGATGCATGGAAGTAAAGGTGGGTTTATTCGAATCATCTGTCACCCTCTAGCAATTTTGAATACTCAGTGCTATTGAAAAATAGCAGGCTAAAGCCGCTGTCCTGACAAAATTTCCCTCATTGTACCCTGTATGGCATTGCCCGTCTTCAGCAGCCCAGATGGTGCAGAAAAGTAGGACGTAAAACCTCATTCATTAAGTAAAATTGTGCTAATCACAGATGCCTGGCAAGCTATCTTTGTATATGCAACAGTTATGATCGGTTTTGGACGATTTAATTGATAAGACCATCGTATTGTATGGTTGTATACAACATTGTATACATGTAATTGTTTTGCAGGTATTGGATACATTGCTGCCAGAGAAATAGCTCGTATGGGAGGTCATGTTATTATTGCTTGTAGAAATATGGGTAAAGCAGATGCGGTAAGATTATTGATGTAATTTAAAATTTCAAATTCGTTCATAAATGAAATTAAGATGACCACGTAAACACCCATATTTATACTGCTATTTGAAGCGGGTTTGATATAGATGATTTAGTCTTTTGTTCAGACTAGTGGCGGACCCAAAGGGGGGGGATGGGGGCAGAGGGTTCAGCCGCCCCCTCGCAGCCCCAAAAGCAAGTTTTTCAGGCAAAAATCTCATAAATAGGTTAGAGATTCAGACGTAAACCTAGCTCCGCCACTGGTTCAGACGACTTAAGTTAAGGCATTTTAACTATCAACCGTTTTTCGAGTCCGGTCTTTTAGTCGTCTGAACGCGACCGGTTAAACTTAAGCTGCCTTAACATGCTGTAGGATATTTTGACCTCCTATAGACCACTTTACGGATAGAGCACGTCTGGTTGTTCGTGCATAAAATTGCATTGCATTGTGGGATAGTAAGCGTCCTTAGAGTTCCGCCATAATGTAAACAAATGGAGTAGAATAATGAGCGATAAGAAAGACATAGTTGTGTTCTTCTTAAAGACCGGGGAATCCCATACGACAGTAGAAATAAGGAAGATAGACATGTGCTAGCATCTATTGCCGAGAGCAGAAATATTCTGCTTAAAACTCCTGTTGAAGATGATCTCCAGAAAGTGATAGAAGAAAGAAAGAGTAAATTTATTTTGGAAGATGGTTTGATTAAGCTTCCCGATCCTGTAAAAATATTAGCTGGTTGAGAGAAAAACTACATAAATTTTCCGAATACATCAGTCTCGGATGTAGAAGATTATATAAAACTGTGTAAGTATTTATTACTATAGTAGGCCTACTGATATCAGAATTTGGAGACTGAGCCTAATTTCGCAACCTTAAACAGATAAATTTTATTATTATTATAAGGTAAAATTGTTCCACTACTGTTCCTTCTGACTTGTATCCAGTATTATTATTTATTATGTTTGTATCATGATTCTATTCATTCTAGTCAAGTAGAATAGACTTCACAATTATTTATGTTTAAGTTAAAACAAAATGTATGAACTGGCAATTAACAAAACGTGTGTTGCTCCAAAGAGCACTCATGTGAGTTACAAGATGCCTACAGTAATTGACAGTGTTTTGCTTACCTGATTAACATGATTGGGGACTGGGGTATTAAGCAATCAATCACTTCGGTAGATTGATTCACCTCGTATAAATAGGTCCCGCCTCTTGGCTTATCTTGTGTGCAAACATATAAATAAAGAACAAAGCAGGTGTGTCTAGTTTACACTCATGCAAGTTCGTGATTTGTTTCCTCAATAAACTACTCTATGATGTATTATACATGTATATGTATAAACATTAATTTTACAGGTGCTGAGAACCAAATAAGGCTCGACGAAAGGATCAAAATCAACAAAAGAAGGATGGAGTTTATACCTATCTGGACATGTTACTGGAGTTGAATACCATCGAATCAGTCCAAATATATCTTACTGCTATGTAAAGGCTATTGAAGCTCGACAAAAGGCATAGACACAAGCACCATATGGTGTAAGGACAGTCCTTCAGAAGAGAAAGGGAAAAGTGGAAAGAGCTTACTGCAATTGTCCAGCAGGTCTACGAGGGTATTGCAAACATTGCGTTGCCTTGTTGCACTTTATTGTTAGGCAAATAGAGTCGGGATGCAGCAAAGCATGTACATCCCAAACAAACCACACGTTCAAGGGAAAAGGGTTACACAGCCTGACTTTGTCAGAAATCTTGTTGTGAAAAAGTGGAAAAAAGTCTCGATTGACATTTGAACCCAGAGCATTCCGCTACCGCAAAGAAAAAACACTATCAGATTTTGACTTAAATAGACTAAGAGAGATAACAAATGGAAATTGTGTTGTACTTTTATATTCTCCAAGAAGCAGTGTTGAGCAAAATGCGGTTAATCCTGATATTGAAAATATTTACATGGAAGAGGAAGTTGAAACTGTCGCTAAAAACCATACCTGTTCTTGATAACGAAATTTTAGAATCAAAGGAAAACATTAATGCAAGTGATTTTGTGAAAGAACTTATGTTAAAACTTAAAGATTCAACAACAGTATGTCAAACCTGTACACAGGCTAAATCAAAAATATGGTTTGATAACCAAATTGGACGCAACACTGCATCAGTAGCACATGAGTGTTACAGAAAAGTAAATGAAAATGAACAACATTCAGACAAGAATAATTCTATAGTAATTTCAATTACAAAAGTGCACCAGCCAATGTAAAATCTTTGAAGTGGGGCAGAGAAAGGGAATTACCGGCAATTACAGAATATGAAAAACATATTAAGAGTAAACACCAAAATTTAAAGGTTCAAAGCACAGAATTTAAAGGTTCAACAAAGCACAGGGCTTCATATTTGCATGGAAAATCCTTGGTTAGCAGTCACACCAGACGGTATTATTAATTGTGATTGTTGTGGATTGGGTTGTTTGGAGGTTAAAAATCCAGAAAAATTTAAAAATGACATTATTAAACAACTTGCAGCCTCAGATCAGTATTTTTTGAAATATTCAAATAATGGACAAGTCTCGACAAGAATCATCAGTATTATGCTCAAGTACAAATCCAGATGCATGCTACAAATTCTCAATATGCTGATTTTGTTGTAAAAACAATTGCAATAGATGACAATATTTTTATTCAAAGAATTGCCTATGATGACAGGTTTGCCAAGAACGTTGTAAATAAATGCAAAGTCTTTTTCAAAAGGTTAATTGTAAAAAGTAAGGAAGACAGCAACTTAGTGATTTGATATTTCGAATGAGGATTATGAGGACTAGTGTGAAGTATGGTATGAATTTCAAAAAGTTTCTATGATGTCTAAGCCTCGCAAATTGCCCGTAATATACTCATATAGGCCATATATATGTCGATTATTGTATGTCTTCAATGGGCCTCCGTACAAAGAGTAAGGGAGACAGCAATTATGATTTGATATTTCGAATAGTTCCTATGACGGCTAAGCCTTTAAATTTGCTGTCTTTGGTAAGTTTCGACAGCTTCCATTAAGTTATTTTAACAATATTTAAGTTAGTAATAATTCAGATTTCATATCGGGTCGATTTGCCGCGAATGAGTATGCTGAGACGATTCGACCCGAAGCTGTATGCTGGTTGAATGTGTAGACTAAGTTCAGCCCGGTTGAACCATTTAAGATGTGGGAATATTTTCTTCCTTATTTTAAAGATACCTTAGAAAATGTGCAAAGAATTACTAAGCAAGAACGAGTCGAAATTTATTTATTTTGTTTTTGTCTGGATAATCGATACGCAAGCGCATTATATTTTACGGATTATATTTTACTCTTAGACATTCACTTTTCAATCAGTAGCCAATCCGTTATATTATAACAATTTTGTTACTTATTTTGTACTTAAACATACGATAGTTTTCAGGTAGCTAGCGAATTTTATAAATTTATTTCTTTTTCACTCTCAACTTTTTCGTGATTTATGTGTGTAGACAGTAGTAAATCCTACATTCTGCAAGGGAAAGATTTTCATTCAATAAGCTCATCTTCTGCAAGTTCCATTTTCTTCTTAAATTATGATAAGTCCGAAACATCTGTCTCTATTCCAGCAACTGATAAGAATTATTGTGACAGTTGTGGGCTGGAGAAGGGTCAGAAAAACTTGGTTATGTTTGATGGGGATTTTCAGTACCTCTGAATGTGCGGGAATTGAAAACCTTTTTATTTACCTAAAGAACTGCTCGAGATACTTGTACAGATGGGTATTTTTGTAGTTTGGTCATAGCATCATTATCCCCCTGGATACATCAAAGTTTTTTAACGAAATTAATCACTCATGGGTCATTGTCAGGAAAATTCCCCTTTAAAATAAAGCCAAGTTTTTACTCTGCTTGAGCCATAAACTGTCAAAATAGTCTTCAGAGGCTGGAATGGAGGCAGATGTTTCGGACTAGCCTATAATATAATATAACATGCAGAATTGAATATGCTTATTTATTATTTATGAACTGAATTGATTATTGAATGCTTATCTTTTGTAATTATGGGGTTTAATACCTGACATATTTCAGAATTCTCAATTCATATGGGCAAAACTTGTTAATTTTTCAAATCTTTGAATTTTTGTTGACAGGTTGTGCGAGCAGATGTTAAATTATGTGTGAAACTATTATAGAACATTTTCCCGACTCAATATTACTTCATATATTCTCCTTTTTAAATGGACCTGATTTGTGCAGCTCGGCACAAGTTTGTAAGCGTTGGAGAAACGTAGCATACGATGACAGTTTATACAGAAACCTATTAAAAAGTTTATATAAAATAGATGTTAAAAATGGTTTAGCTAACGATAAAGAAAGTTGGAGAAGTGAATATAAGAGATTATTTTATCATTGTCCTACTGTGTGGAGTGAAGAATTATTAGAACACACAGATGAAGTTTTACATGTCAGTTTCTCACACAATGGTCTTTTCTTTTCAACAACTTCTAAAGATTGTTCTGTTAAGGTAGGGAATTATAAGTCAAGTCTTATTTGCATCATTTTTTTTTTAATTCTTTCTGTATGATTGGGATTACTGTAACCTGTTTCATGTTGGCCTTATTTCTACTTGGACATAGGGCCAGTCATTGCTGAGTTGTTTATCAACTTGTTAAAAGAAAGCAGGTGTTTCTAGCATCATTTTTAAAAAAGGTGCAGCTCAGAATTCAGTAAGGAGCAGCCACAATATGTCAATGGTAGCACTACCATACACAATTCTTGGGGAAACACTTACTTAAAGCCAGCTTATGGCATTGTTATGTTAAATTAGTCTTGGACTAATTGTCTAAATTAACCTTTCCACCCTTGACCTTATCTCATTTCATTTCTTCTTTATGTTTTGTGAATTACAGGTATGGGAAGTGGGTTATCCTACCAAGATGAAATATGATTATCAGTTTGGTAAAGATTTTTTATGGGATTTTACTCAGTTTTCCTGTTTTAATGGTGATGATACGAAGCTGCTGGTATCCAGTGTTAGAAGTAGCGTTGTTGATAGGAGAGGATATGTAGCCATATTGTCACTAGAAAAAAGTATGTAAGCTTAATGAATGGAGATATTTTCTACTGCAGTTAATCAATTTCCAAAGATTTCAGTATGCAAAGATATAATTAAAGGCAAGATGCCTGATGCTTATGCCAGTGCTTTCAAATGTCTGTTAAGTGCCAAGCAGAAGTTTTGAATGCCTTTACGATTAACAGTCAGATAGACAAGGTTAGCTATTAGGACTCTCTGAAAGTAATGCTGAGTTGATAAACCCAGCTACAGAGTGATACCGAGTGCACCAAAAAAGAAATATGCCCTAATCATTAAATAATTTCATTCACTCTTTTATTTTCAGATTTTGAGCTGTTAAAGATAGTCAATATGGATCCATCACAGTTGTTTGGAGCCTGGTTAAATTCTGAAACTTTTCTTGGTGGATCTTTACATATCAATCTAGAAAATCAGGGAGCTTTAGTCACTGTTAATATTGAAGCATTTCCAGTAAGAAATGAACTTTATCAGCTTGAATTTGACTCATTATTATGATCAATTACAGAAAAACATATAAGGAATTAGTTTGATTCATTATAAGAGTAACAATGCAAAGCCGAATAGCCCATTGATCAACTCAATTGCAAATTTTCACCTGATAAAGAATACATGATGGTGGAAGTTGAAAAATAAGCTTATAACTTAACCCTGATTACCAATCCACAACCTCTCTTCATTTAAACCCTTTGGTGACAGTTTTATGCACTTTTTCAACCTGTTTCTCCCGTTGTCCTCAGGCATATCAACTTCACTTTAGTGAGAGCACTACACAGACAATTTTCTATTTGTTTCCAGGTGAATAATAATGATAAATACGAACCTGTAGAGGATGATGTAACTGGACAGGTGTTGTTTACGTTTTCTAATGAGACAGCTAGTTTGATTAAATGTTTAATGGTGTTTAAAAATCATACTTCACACTGTATGAGTTGTGCTTCAAACTCAGAACCAATGAGGAAGAACCCATCTGAGGAAGATTCAAACTGCTACCTCGCTAGTAATGGACATGATGATATTTGTAAATGCTGTGGTAAATTAAGCAGTGATTCCAAGAAAGACAACTCTGTTTCATCTGCTGAAGGCCATTCTTTCAAATCTAACTGTGATACTCGCCTACTCTACGTGACTGGTAATTTTTCCGTTGCTTTACATCAGATAGGAGTGAATACTATTCCCTCTGACTTGTCCCACCATTCAGCTACTGAAGACTTAAATAGTGACGATATTGGACACATGGTGATGCACCTGGGTAAAAATGAAATTGAGATACAACCAAATCGTAAACCAGACTCGTGGGATCAGATGATAGATCTAAATGGACATGTTACTGGATTATGTCTTTCAGATAATAAAAGGTATGATTCTAGTTTTATATTCATATGCCCTGTGTATTGGACAGTGTGATTGGACATAAGGAGCTTGTCTTTAATTTATTTTCCTGTAGAAAGTTTTGCAAAGACAACTTGCCATTATGAACTGTAAAACTTGAAAACAATGTCATTCAAGGAAATAAATTTAAAGTAATAGGATCTGTTGGCCTTTTCTACCTTTCACCTCAAATATACATATGGTTTTTCTTCAAATAGTGACTTTAGAATGAATCATAGTAATTAGATTTAATCGCTGCTTCTTGAGTATGTTGGTTGTCTGTATGCTTTTAGGTATTTATATGTAAATTGCCGACCATGGGTAGGTAAGGTAGATAGAGAGGATCCATGGAGTACACCTTTACTGTCAGAAGATATTGAAGTACGTGTGATTGATCTACATACTCTAACTGATACGGGTATTCGATATACTGGACATAAGGGACTATCACCATCTACTATGTGTTGTTTTGTTTTCTTACATACTAGTCATGATTATGTTGCAAGGTAAGCATTATAGCTTTTGTTTTAAGAAGTACATGGCCACAAAAAAACAAAGGCAAAAATTCTGTTAGCAAGAATGCTTTGGAAAACTCCTATATTCAGCTTTATCCCTGTAAAACATATATATTTTATAGCCTGTAAAAGACTGTAGTTTGAGATTGAGACCTTTGAAAAAAGTATACAAATACATATTTTGCTGGAGACTAATACCTTGCATGTTCTTGAAAGAATATATTTTAAGCCATGTAATAGACTACAATTGAGCTTGACGCCTATGCAAAAATTCATATAATTGAGCTTGAGATAACAATAACATCGTTTATCCTTAAATTATGTTTTGAGCTGGAAGCCTTTGAAATCTTGTATAAATGAAAATATTCGTTCAGGCTAGTAAAATAATATCTTCTGTAATTTATTTCAGTGGAAGTGAAGATAGCCAAGGGTATTTATGGGATAAACATTATAGATGTCTGTTATCAACCTTTCAACACGGAGAAGGTGTCGTCAATGCTGTTGCTTTTAACCCCCGTGATCAGGAATATCTTGTTACTGTTAGTGATGACCATTCAATACAAATATGGAGATCAAAATATAAAATGTCAAAGTTGCCAAAGCTGACAGAATAATTCATTTTGCGTATTAAAGGGGGGGGGGGACAGTCAAATTTAACAACCAAAACCATTGTTTAAAACCCTTAAATAAGTTGATATCATGCAAGATGAAAATGGTTTTATCGATTTTAATGTTTTCTGTGGATACGATTTCTCTTTGCCACATCTACGAATGGATCCTCCATGAATAATTATGATTTCACAGTAAATATCAAGATTTTCTTGGTAATGTAAACTGAATGAGTTGCTCTGTTATAACACATCTTGGCCTCTCTGCACCTGGAGCTGAGTGCGAGTTGCACTCTACGAAGTGATATGATATGAAAATTATGATATTAGGATGACTGTGTTAAAGATTTTTTTATAATTTGAATTGACTGTGATATTCACAAAGGGATGTAGTCATTTAAATATTTTACTTGATTAAAAGATATTGGTGTATTACTGAACTGATTTCAGATGATTTTGATCGCAATATTTTGAATTGACCAATCAAATCCGGTGACAGAGTTCTGGTCAGTTCAGTACATCAAAGGTGAGATGCTGAATAGGCTCTTTCATTCTTTATAAAAAAGCAAATGAGATGCTCCAAACCTCAGGCTTTTTATTCTGATTTTACTTCAGGTAGTTATATTCTACTTTATCAGAAGTTCTGCTGAAAATTTCGATGATTATATCCTTTTAGATGTTATTCATAATAATAATGACATAATTTATTTATTAAAATATTATAATTTGTTATTAAAAGTTTTCTTTTATTTAAAACTGTGTTAAATGATTGAATAAAGAAATGTAATGGAGTTATATGACCCACTTTCCTGTATCTAATTGTGCTAATCAAGATCGTCAATGCCATACAGTGTGCAATGAAATTCCAACTGTCAAGGGAGATTTTAAATTAACAATTGGTATTGTACAAAGGGCCTTGGTTTATTATCCCATCTGAAGGACTTGACACTTTCTCCATTGTCAGCCCCTTCGACCTGCATTACTGACATATGACGGGTAACTGGTTCGGAAAATTAGAAAGGTATTATCTCGACCTCTATGGGATTAAACTCTGGTCCTTCAGGTTTGCTAGCGAGCATCCAATTTACTACGCCATCCAAGCACTTTACTTAAGCCTGGGGTAATCCTTACTACACAGGCAACGCTAAAGAAATCAATAAAACAGATAAAACAAACAAGTAATAAATTTGTAATAATATATTTCATTATATTGGTTGAATACATTATTATACCAGAAACTTAAATACTAAATAATTATATAGTTCATTATCTCTGAACATTATAAACCTTAAACAGGGAATTCTAATATTTCCATTTGAAAATACATACCACTGTGGCATTTCTACTCAAAAAATCTTTAGTGGTGTTGCATAAAATAATTATAAAAGAAGAAGAAATTTCATAATTTTTGCTAATCAAATTCCATTGTTTTTTGAAAACTGGACAACAAAACTATACAATTAGACATAGTGATAATATCAATTGACTCTGAAACAGTTCTTACATAAAGTTATAGATGAAGGTTCAAGAGTAAGAATATAAGTCTAGTGTCATCTTGGCAATGTCAAGTCATTACGAACTGCCTCTTATACCTCTACTCCATTCAGCTCTTTTCTTGTACTGTCTTTATGTCGAGGGCTCTGAATTACTGAATTCGCTAGTGTACAATTCAATCAAATTTCTGCATTTACAATCGTCAGTAATACAAGAAAAGAGCCCAATATAGTTAAGGTATTAGACCTAGTTTGTAATAACTTGACATTGCCAATATGGTCTCGGGTCAGTTGTCAGAAACATAATAACTTTAAGATAATTGTAAAACATACTACACTAATTAGAACACTGATTGGTAAAATCATATTTCAGTGTCCATATCAAGACAAAATGAGAGTCTTTCTTACAGAAAGTCCCAGATTATTTTTATGATTCCATAATAGACAACTTAGCTCTGGTGTTCATATTCATGTACACAAACAATGTTGGTGCAATTTATATGTGCATTTCAGATCTATACTATAATTCATGATTCAAGACTAGATGAAATGGAGGAAATAGAAAACTTATCATCTGAATCTAGCTTCCTGTTCTATGTTGATATTTATCAACCACAGGCTAGTTGGAAAATTTTACTTAACATGATCAAATTATAACATAAATATTTAAATAAACTCCAATTGGAAGTTTTTTGTTGAGTAAAATTTTTATCTAATAATGAACCAAATTTCCATTACCTAGCTGAGTACAATTATTTAATTTTAAATCAAAATTTCATGTTATATTATCTTATTCAGAATTCATACAATCTAAAAGATATCCATCATAATAACAAAAGTTTAACTTAAAACTAAGGTCATATGGCTATAAGAGTTTCTTCACAAACATTCCATAAACTTTGTAGTAAATGGAGATAATTGTTATCATAGAAATTATTATTTAGAACCATTTATACTGAGCTAAATGCAGTACTTAAGCTAAAATCTAATGCATTGAAACAATTCCCAAAATGCAAAATGATAATTCTATATGGAAAGAGACACATGGCAATTTGTCTGTGTAAACTATGCTGTATAGCTGTGATTTCAGTCTTGAGAGCAAAGATTTCTTTTTTCCCTTTTTTCCCAGAAATTCATGGCAAAAAATATGCTAACCAACCATTGCATGATATTTATACGACATATAGAAGTAGGAAGGTTCATCTTCAGAACACAAGATATATAGATATACAACTTTTAGTTTCATTACATACTATGTTTAGGAACACATACAGGTAACATTATTAAGTTATTTTTGCTTGACAATGTTACCTGTATGTGTTCCTAAACGTAGTATGTAATGAAACTAGAAGTAGTATATCTAAATATCTTGTGTTTCTTTAAACCATTAGAAATTTTACTCCAATTAATGGGGACTAACACCACAATTTTAAGCCATAGATTCTGATGACATGTCTAATATCTAAAGCAGTTGTCAACAGCAGAAGAGAGCTCCTCAACAATGAATTTTTATGCCTTTACCAATTGGTAATGAAGTCTAATATTAACTGTGAGTGAGAGGGATGATGAGTACCCAAAAATTACCAAATCTATCCCAAATTTATTGCAGAAACAGACTCAAATGGTTATTTTGGAAGGCCACAACCCTGATGTCTCCCTTCTTCCTTTTACTTTGGCTATATCCACATTTAAATAAATTTGAAGGTTCTCCATTTTTTCAGCCATGAATTCTGTATCACAGATTAGATGACAGTTGCAACATACACATCCTTGACTCAGAAATTCCAAGTCACAATATAGAATTATTACACAATAATATCTTTGGTTGTACACTGGGATAAATACAAGGCTGTTCACATTCGTCATTCACAGGTTAAAAGTTTGAACAAATTAAATGCTTATTGTGCACGATTACCTTACATATTCCTCTGAGTAGTCCAACGAATCTAATGACACCTTTTATGGGTGTTGACACCTTTTATGGGTTTTGAACCCTTTCCATTTTTGGATTGTTAGTCCATAAAAAGTTACATTTGATGTTTGGTGCTTACCTGTGACAATATCACATCCACATATCTGAGGAGCTGGGTAGATCCTATTTGTCACGTTATCCTCTAAGGTACACAGAAATACAAATTCAAGCCCATCAAGATAGTGAATATATTGCATTTTATGTGCAGTTTAACTGTCAATTTCCTTGAGAATCCCTTCCTTGGAAATTAGAACTAAAAATGGAGGGAAATTGTTCACCATCCTTGACCAGGAATGATCTTGTAGAAAAACAAAACAACGCAGACACCCAAAGCACTAGTTGACGAAAGACATTTTGAAGCACTTATTTTGATTATCACAAAAGTTACGAGCATAATTCCTTCAATTGTTTGATTATTTCATAATCTACATCAGACATCATACGATTAAAGTTTGTATGACCTTGAACTTGTTCACATTGTCGCACTTGATTCATGACAAAGTCTTTTAATGACACAGAGTGAACTGGATCTGTTCGGCTCAACTGAAATTTATAAAAACATACCAGTATATGATTAATGCAAAACTTACTGGAGAAGCAACAAAAAGTAAGGACTATCATATCTGTCCAATACTAATAAAATGTTACAAACTTAACCTCTTGATAAGATAGAACACTATGCTATAACCCCACAAATATCATCAGGTCTACTATGGTCCAGCTGTTTGGTTTGGAACCTCCGATCCTAAGAATCTAACTGGTTATCTTTCAAAGTTTTTGGACACACAGTCTATGTCGACTCACATAGGGAGAGAATAGAAGTTTTTATCATGAACTTACGTTTTTCTTTCTAATATCATGTTGTGTTGGTATATCACTATAATCATCATCATTAGAGTATTGATAATTCTCTATTATATCATCTTCTCCAAACACTAGTGAACTGATAGAAAAAGTATTGATTAAATTATTACTGATCAAAAAAAGAGTTGAAGGTATAATGCATAAGCCAAATTGTTAAGTCTTAAACTTTTTTGTCAAAGGATTGACCAGGGCCACAACTTAAGTAGAGTTGGCAATCACCACATTCCTGACTGAATTATTGCTTAATTACTTACTCGTAATTTTTACCATGGTCGTCTTTCTGACATACATCATGTAGAACTTCCACACATAGATGTATTATACAGCTAAACTTCTCACCTACAATACTGTTAATATATATCAGATTAAGGCAAATGTCAACTAAACGTTATAAGCTGTTTGTGTACATGCGTTTGAATAATTCCAATTGCACAGTTTGTCAGTAAATCTCCATATTGAGTTTAAGCCAATGTTCTGCTCTTTGGGATAATGATATTTATTTTGAAAAGGCAATATGGCAGTAAATAAATCATACCTATGGTTTATAGATAACAGTGAAGACAAGGCTAAAGCTGATATTTTTCTTCTCTCAGGTTGTGTTATAGAATCTATCTTATCTCCGTACGTATCTAGCAATCTTTGAAGTATAGTCTGACTCTATCAAATAAAATTCATATTTAATATTATTATACAAAGATAACAAAATATCTGACTGGCAATGAAATAGTTTTCATTTTAGATTTCAGACCCATTTTAGAAAATAAAGATTGTAGGCTTTACTCTTTGTCCCAAAAATTGGTTTTCATTTAGATTTAAATACATAACCTATAACATGATAGCAGAATCCAAAATTTCAATAACCAATTGGTATGTGTTTTTTTTTTCAGATTGTGAATTTTCAAACTTACATTTCGTTGTGTGTCTGAAGCAACTTTTTCTACAACTGACCAGAAAACTGTTTGATTTTGAAGAATAACTCGAGATATTAACGTTAAATACATTGACAGAACTACACTATTCTCCTACAAAATGACAAAATATTGATCACTGACATCATTCCACATAACAAGAAATACAGATTAACTTCCAAACATACTTTAAACCAATGAAACTCATCAGTTGAAAGCTAAACCCATTAGTTAGTCATATACTCCAAAAATTTGTCCCAAAATGAAAAAACATACAAAATATCAATAAGCATCCTTTTAAGATAAGTGACTGTAGAAGTAGTAATACCTTACAGTTACAATATAATAAGTGCCTACCTCCCCATTGACTATAGTTGTAACAACACCATTTAATATTGGTTGAAAAACTTGTGGTCCTTCTGTCGGGAATGTTTTAAATACCACCTCTATCACCTATAATAATCGAATAACTATTCTCGTAATTACATACTTTTATGGTACTCTGCCTCCAAAATTATACGATAAAGTTAAATATTACTTGTATAGTTTGGAGAACCTCATCTAACAATGACAAACAAACACATAGTTGATAACTTTAAAATGCAAGAATACATAATTATTCATTGGGAGATTGTATATTACAAGTAAACTTTTGAATATATATACATAAACCAGTACCCGATTTGACTTTAAGCCTTCTGGAAGCAATTAATAAGGTATTTATCTAGCTACATTAGTGGGTTAGCAGAGCTAAATACAACCATACAAACAATCGTTAAATCAAAATCCTGTAATATTTATATCATATTTACCCGTAATATCATAACTAAACCTTCTGCTCTAATATCAGTCATTAAACTAGAAAAGGAGGGCACCAACACACCTGAATATGCCTGTAAATATAGTTAAATTTTCAAAGGATGATTAATTCAAAAGAACTTTTGCTCGTATGTTTCGGTAAAAAGGTCTTGACTACTAGTGAATTGATATAATTTACAAAGTTCAAAGTTCGGTATGATACCTTTAATTTAAACTTTAAATCTACTTTGATCCCAGGAAAATAATGACCGAAATCAACCAAAAGATAAAAATAAATATATATATATACCTGCATAAATTCATGAGGTCCCAATAATATATAGGCTTCTATAACTTTTAAACAAATACGTAAATTTTCAGTTCCTAATTCTGCGAAAAGAAAGGTTGGAATCATAGACAAACTAATGATAGACAAGAAAGTAATATACATGTACTTGCACTTAATTCTTAAGTTTTCTTTCTTCCAAATGGTCCTTATCAAAACCATTGTCAAAGATCTTCAGGGATAATCAAGATGGATCAACCAATAAACCCCATTTCCCCAATCTTGTTATGGATAGTTGTCAAACCATACATACCTAATAACGCTGGCATCTGTTGAAATATTTTAAGAAGAGGTTGAGTAATATGTGGTGAACTTTGTAAAGTAACGACCCACAGTTCTAATCCATCCTCTAATAAATAAATATGTTGATCTTGGTTTATATCTGTACTTGATTCTATCACTGGTATTAAAAAATCATATAACTTTGTACATGTTGTACCAAAACCCTGAAATATCAATCACAACTTAGACATTGAACTTTACCATAAATTATTTTATGATAGATGGTTGGACATATGAGAATTGGGAACATGTTTTTATACATGACAAATTCTCCGGTGGGATAAAATCATACTGCTTAACTGCAAAATTTCCCATATCATTGTCAAGTTGAGGTAGGAAGATGTCAAGTCAGCAATAAGAGTTATCTCCCTTGAGAGAGCCTTAGATGGCCTGAATAAAGATAGCGGTTATGACTTCATTGAGTGTGTCTTATCTTTGCATCCATGATATCCAACAGAACACCATTCCCTTAAACACTGTCCCTTGAGAGTGCCTTAGATAGTCTGGTCATAATTTCATTCAATCTAAGTCACCATAGAAAACTCAGTCGCCCTGGCACACCATTCAATAAGTCACATTCATGAAGGTTTTCAGTTCTAGTCCAAGAACAAAAGCTACAAACCTGTACAAGATGTATTAAAGTTGTCAATATAGCACATCTTAACATATTATGTTCACTAGACTCCTGCCATAATAATGGTAGATATTGTACTAATGCTGTAGTATAGGGTTGTATTTTAGATCCAACTCTCTCTATTACAAATGATAATACATGTAATACATGCATCTGAAAATAACAACAGAACATACTCTATTACAGGACAGAATACACATTTTTAATAACAAAGTATGCTGCGAAAACAAGATAAAAAAAATGGTAAGATCAATTCTAAATTCTTACCTTAGTGTCACACTCTCTGACTTCTTTTAATAATTCAAACAGATGAGCAAATAATGACTCTAAATACTAAAACAGAAAAGAAATACAAAATGAAAATGTTTCTGATCTGTCACATCATTGCTTTAAATATCATGAGAATCTTCATCTCAAAAGTAGTAACATGGATTCATACTTACTGGTAGTAACTGTTCAGTTTTAAATTCAAAATCATCAACTGGTAAGAATAAGTCAAGGATAATGTATACAGCAATTAAAAATCAATATCAACAAATCTCAGATTTTTTCCTGTTATCAGAGTATTAGAACCTACATCATTAGTAATATTGCCTGGCCATGCACTGATTCATCTTAAACTCAGTCCCAAATTAACAGGATGGAGCTATTATCACTTAAGCATTAATTGGACGAAATCACATCCGAACATACACTAGTATCGCACTAGTTTACACCAAGTAAATTGAGTAGAGAGAAAGTTGTATGTGAGTTTAAGCCGTAAATGAAAAAAAACGCAGCAGGGGTTCAGTTTAGTTAGAATGAGGGGCATTTGAACCTGTTATGGTGCCTTTTATTGCTTCTCTAGCTATGCAATAATGACTGAGCTTTCTCCCTTTCCCTATTTAACACACTGATTGATTTTAATAAAGGATATCTGTTTTAAGACATTGTGCAGCTTCTATTCTGACGGCCAAGTCTTCATCTTTAGACAGTAATGATAAAATAATTTCATATAACATTGGTCTCAAACTGACAGACATCTTGACACCGACCCACTGTCCTATCAACCATATAACTCTACGTCTTATTATACGATACCTGGAAAAGAACATATTCACAATAAAACAATATCAAATGAAGCATTGGCATATTTCTCAAAACACATTACAATAACTTTTGATGTAAAATATGCTATTTTAAAAAATTTTGTCGTAAGAGAGCAGCTTCTAATTCTCAAATAAAGATATATGAAATATCATCCAGTAAAATATATACAATCTAGTCAATTAGTTGAGAAATATCAAACAAACATTTTTTATAACCCAACTATAAAACCTCTAGTAAAATTTTGAAAACAGAAATGTACCCCATATTCCTGGTTTATATGCCTAGTTTCGGTTTTAATTTTTCTGGAATTTCTTAAAGTTCACATAAGAAGACTTACTGAAAATGTTTATTTTGTAGCTCAGCTGCTAGATGTGTAACAAACCACTGATCAAAATTAATATCATCAAATAAATCAAATGATGCCAGGCCTACAGCATTGTACACTGAAAAAAACATAGGAGAAAAATACATACTGATAATAGAAAAATTAACCCTAATATCAAGATGGATTATATACTAATAGATGTATCAACATTACATACTGATACCTTGACAAATTCTACAATAAAATCTATGAAGGAATAAAATTTGTGTTCTATTTTCTCATTTTAACACTAATTTTCAAATATTGTTCTGAAGGAATGACTGAATATAAAACCTACTGATCTATTTAGAGTTAAACTTATAATACCTGCATCTTTCTTGAGTAAAGCTTCCAGATTATCAGGATCACAAGGTCCTTGGTTAGATTGGACCATTTCTAATAGCACTGTTGTTAATGTTAAACGGAATTCTTTGAACACTGTTAAAAATAACACTTCTGTACATGGCTGCAATATAAAGTATTTTACTTGTACTGTATATTAATAACTGAACAAGTATGTAAATAATGAAGATTTTGCCCTCTTCTGTAGTGACAGAGTGGACATATCAAAAATATCTCCGACACCAAATCAACATCCCAAATACAATATACCTATACGTACCCTTAAAGAATATTTATAAGAATCACCCACTTCATCTTGACCTATAAAAATAAACAGATTTATATCACATATTAATATTACATAATATATTTAAATTTATATAATATAATCAGACTATAATGAGAAAAGATATCTGTGCTCATCCTGGTCTGATTCAAAACTAACATGAACTATACTTTACTTTATATAACAACTTTAACAAAGTGCTGGGCAGAAAAATATTAAGAACTTTGATGTTGTGCGGTTTAAGAAATCTCATGCTCATAAACTTACAGAATTCCTCGGGATCTGCCTCCCAGGTCAAAAGGTCATCTGAGGTCAATAAAAAGTACTGTGATACCAATCTACGACATATTTCAGCTAAAGTTTCATAGGTAAAAAACTCAGTCAGAATCTTGTGAGCCTGCATACTAATAGACGAAGAATCTGCAAGAGAAATAAAATGTTAACTTCATCTGCCTTGCAAATCTTTTTCTGCTTTGAAATTTTATCCTATTTAAGCTTTTTAAAACTTGTATTTCCTCATAGAGTTCTATAAATATGATCAACAACAAACAGAAACTGGATTTTGTAAGAAACATCTCAACATATGATGCTTCACAATAGTCCCTGCACATTGTATGGCGTTCCTTTCATTATTAGCCTAATAAGGAGCAGACAAGATAAATGACTGCTGTCCACTATCAAATCATAATCTATCAGACAGAAAACACACATACATTAACAGTAGAATAGAAAGCCTATTTACCTTGTGGATTTTTAGGAGGTTTATAAACATCACAGAATAAAATTCCTTTCATTAAATTAAAACAATTAACAACAAATCTTTCAAATAATAAACCTGTAAAATAATAAGATAACATTAAACACTATTAGCATAAGACTCAACTTAACAAAATCTGTAATCTTGATCAGCGAAAGATTTTGTGTACAAGGTTCAAAGTATTGTTGGAAGTCCTCAGTCTTTATCAACATCTGCAACAATAATAAATTCTTTAGACTCAACAAGTAATATAGCTTAATTTGACAATTGATTAAATACAATATGGAGGTTGAACAGTTACAATTGTAAGCAATATAACTCAATTTTCAGAAGTCAAATAAATGCAATTATCTGACAGTCAAATAAACAAACTGTATCATCAACTTACTCTTTGCAGTAAAATTATATCTAACAACAAACTCTAAAGACATTCTGATAAACTGTACAAAACCAATAGGATGTACATCTAATACATCTAGAAGCTGAAATTCATATTCAATAATTATATAAAACAATCTAGGAAAGTAACATTACATTCAGTTGAGTACTTGACTTGATAGCTACTGTATAACATAGGGGCCCGAATAAAATCAGAAAATATAGGATTGCTCTTCGAAATTGATCAATTAATGAGGTAAGCATACTCACCACTTTTGTTAAGGTAACAACTAATTTTTCACATTTTTCCACCATTACATGATTCCCCCACATTGTTCTGCCTACAAAAGGATAGTATTCAAAATATTAATCTCCAATAATTCTTCAAGCATCCATCAGAGGAAGAGCTCTATTTCACAGCAGCTTGTTAGGCTAATGAAGATAGCCAATGCCATATTAACAGCACAGGGAAATACACACTTTTTACATATTCAACTGTCAAAGGATGGTTTGTTGTACACAAAGTCTTGACTTTGATCAAATATCAGTTTTGGCCTTTCCATGTCAACTTTGTTTAAAACTAGCAATTGCATATTGTTAGTATCTTTAATTCTAGTTATAGTATCAGGCAACCATGAAAAGCTTAGAAATCAAACAAGGGAAATTTCAAATCATATATCCAATACTTACGGCAATCTAGAACCTGATCTAAACGTTGAAATATAGAATTAATAAAGGACACAGCATCAGGACATGTCGTTAAATCTTTAAAACCAAACACCACTAGTTTTCTTAAAACTGAAAACATAAATAAATATATAATAGCTCAACTTTTACATGGGGAATTCAAGTAAAGAGTAAGGTATAGAATCATGGCATAAAGATTTTACCAAAACCGAGTAAAACATCAAGCATTAAACAAAAATTTCACTTTAATTTTCACACATTTAAACATCAACACATCAATTTGTCTCATTCAAATAAAGAAAACAACAATCACAACTTTTACTAACAAATCAATCCTACCTTTTAAAGAAAGAATACATTTATCTATAGCTGGGGCCATGCCTTCTTCATGTTTTGAAGCTAGTTGATAAAATTGTTCTATATACATATTCCATACTCTTAGAATGAAACTAAATATTTCCATTGTCAGCTGAAATTCAAGCAACATACATACATAACAAACACAAGATCTCATTAGACTACCTAGACAACATCATTTGCATAATTTCTATGACTGATTTGAACCATTTTTATATTTAGTAATTGTGCCTTTCCCAGAATTTTGAAGACCACTTCAGTTTAGACCAACTTCAATCTCCTAATTTATCAAACATCTTACCTCTTCAAATAACTTTCTATCATTTGGTAATCGTTTAGATGCCAATGTCTTGGTAACATGGTGAAAGACAAGTAAGGCTCGTTCTTGTATCAGACCATCAGAACATCTTATAGCTTGATATAGTGTTGGAAGTAGGTCACTCCAATATTTCGGACAATCTACACGAGCTATTTTAGCTACAAGCACTGCCAACTGTAATGTGACCTAGAAGAGACAAATACCAACAATTTGAACTTTCAAGTCATACACATGCTGGTGATATACCATGAGTCAAATATCAGAATGGTCATCACATCCAAGTACATTTGTATTAAACCTTTAGAAAAAGTTGGAACAGATTTCCGATCTGAAAAAAGAAATGGAGAGGTTAAATCTACATCTATCATGGGTAATCATACGCCAGTTATTTTGTAAAACCTAGAATGTTAATGAAAATTACCTGTGGTGAGGGCTCATTAAAATTTGAAATGGATCTTCTTTTGATGGTTTCTCTCTCTTCTTCATTGATAGCACTAAAAAACATTTAGAAATAATTTTTGTCATTTATACAAATAGTTTACTAGGTAAAGAGATGTTTGCTAACATGATGGCTGTAGGCAAAATTATAGTCATTTTCTATTCCATGCATCATTGACTTAAAATAGAAATATATTTAATTAAGTTTTTGCATAATAATATGAAAATTGAGAATGTAGGATTTAAGCTTACTTTGGTGCTGAACGTCTCCAATATTTATCCACGCCATTTTTACAATACATTACAGCTAGCCATCGTATATTTACATCTATATTATGATTACAGAATATTTTCTAAAATAAAGAAGTATAGTAAGTAAACTAAAAATAATAACTTTTTATACCAATTATAATATGTTCAAATTCTACATAAAACAAGTCAATAAAGTTCCCACAGTCTATAATCTTATTGCAATTAGCCTGATTTTTGTCCCATTTAAACAATTGCATGCCCTTCTATGTCACCTTTCGACCTGCTCCACTCCAAAAAGTTCCTTTTATAAGCTTGGTCTCAATATATAATGATATTTATACAAAATATACTTACACTTAGTATGGAATAGAAGCCAGGCTGTGTTTCCCATTGTTGAAGCTGATCTGTAGCAGGTTTTAACACTGAAGCATCTTGACTACAAGCTTTATTTAATGTGTCCAATACAAATGATTCTTCTGATGTCAGGCCTAATTCCATGATTAAAAATCTGAAAAAAAGGATTGTGATGTGATACAAATGTTGAAGATGAACTAAACATATGACAATGTCTTTGCAACTACTGAAGAGAGGAGAATCTGTTTTTTAAGTGATAGGCCTACTAGACTAGCATTACCAACTCCCAAGCCAAGCCTATCTATCTTTGCAATATTTATTCATCCCTTTTAATTCTCATATTATCAAGTTATGAGTTTTTAAAAACTACAATAAAGTGTATGATATATAATATAATCTTTAGAAGGTAGACTAAGCCAGATACTGCTTGCATCACCTCTACTTCTATAGTACCAAAGAAATGTCAATATTTATTGACGGGGCATGCTTACTATCTCAAATTCACCAAAATTAAAATCGGTCACAAATCATAAAACACAAAGATGACAGTGAAGAAACTTTGGATGAGAATTACAAAACATTATAAAAGCAAGCTTACATAAAAAGAACCAAATTCTATTTATTGAGCCAATCAACGATTTTGAAGGTTATTCAAAACTTATCACATGGAATAAATTCTTTTTTTTTCTTTTTCAGCAAGTGGCCATCTTGAATGAAGTTGATTTAAGTTTGCATATTTAAAATAAAACGAAACGAAAAATGTTTAATAAATTTGAAACAGAAAATAATGTAATGATTTTCTTTTTAAATACTAGAAACTGTCAAAAAAGATGTAGTTTTTCCACTCTGTTATCACTTATTAATACCTTTTGTTTCGTTTCTTGTTTACAATCCATACGAACTCTTAACACAGCCGACTGATTTCTTAGTCTCTGACACCCAGACTTCTCCAGTAGACAAGACTGGATGAAAGAGGCTATTGATATTTGGCATTAATGGCCTTTATTAGCAGTGGCTAGTTATGACAAATTGTCAGGAATTCCAACCAAATAGGCCTATATCCTTTACGACATGATACAGCACTAGGCATTTAAATATTTAAGAACTCAAGAGATTTTTTTTTAAATGGGTAGGGCCTATGGAGTGAGGATTAACTAAAGACCGTGCTTTTCATTAAGAAAGTGGAAAACTAACTTGAACTTGTGACCTAGCTTTGTACAACCCAGCTTCACATGCATTCTATGTGTCTTCTCCTGAGAGGACCAATGTTATAACCTTGCCATCCATTGTAGCCTGCATGCGTGCCTGTACCACTGTTACGAGAAAGCCATGGTTTTAGGACCTCTGAAGCCATGTGTACTGCCTGCATTTGCCAAAGGAGCAAAGCTTGTGTCCCCATTCTTCGACTTCAAAAATAAATCTTTAAGGAACCTCATAACGTACCATTCTGCCAGTGACGACCAAGCAAATTTATGGTCGCACACAAAAGACTAGGAAATCACCAAGCTTTGTAAAGTACTAAAGGCTGCATAAGGTTGTTGAAGAGGACATTATCATTAAGTGGTTATCTATCTTAAGTTATGTTTATAAAACTAGTTAAAGAATGGTTTTTGCTTTTATTATTATAATACAGATAACAACACTGTCAAATATCAACAGAGTATGAAATTTATTTGAGTTTTGTTCCTCTCTTGATGCCAGCTCTAATACCAGTCATTTCTCCACCATAACGACGTGATTCTGTTCTCACCTCTCTCACCTACAAAATACATAAATATATTAACATTTGATATCTGACTTACTAACATATGACACACTTATTGTGTTAATTGAGCCTGAGTTTTTATATATATTGCGTCTGTGCTATTTGCAATTCCACTAATTGCATTATTTATTAAATTCCCTTAGAGATTAGCAGCTTATAACATGTGAAGACAGCATTGGGTCAGAAACAGTTGACTCCTTATAAGACTAAGTCAACATCCTTACCTGTCCTTTTCGTCTAATCTTGGCTTTTCTAAATTTATGACGATGTCGAACTCTAGGATTCTTTAATTCTCTTTTTCTACTTGGTGTCAAACCACGATTCTTTTGAATCTAACAAATAAAAAAAATAAGATGAAAAAGTTGTTACAAAAAATAAGATAGTAAGATGATTTAATTGTCTTCTCGATTTGTGAAAAAATATACTTAAAATTAACTTATTGATTGGTCTAAATAGATTTTTACCTGATTAGTAATAGCTCTTTTATCTCCATCTACTGTCTCATCATCATTATTATTATCATCAAACTCCCCAGCAGCTTGTCTATACGCTTTCTCTAAATCTACTTCTTCTTCTTCAGCCCTATAATTCATCATCATTACATACATTAACATATTAACACTTATATCAATAATATTGGTAAACTGGTACCCGGTTGTGTTTGCTAATCGCTACACTAACAACAGGTACAGTCTAATCTCACAGTCAAAATATTGACCTCTGGATTAAGCGAGACATCGTCTATTTAGCGTTGAAAACTAGGAACCGCAATGATGTTACTGTAGGGTATGACGTGAATTTTGACCAATCAAGACCAAGATGACAATAGCCCAAACCAGTTCCTTCGATGTGTGAAGAAATGGGGGACCAGTTTATAATATTGGCCTGTTGATAATATTTTATTTGCCAGTCCTGTCTAGTGGCAGCTCAGTGACTTTAATTTTCCTTCATCTGCTGCCAGATACATCAAGTTTTAAATCATATCATATCATATCAGCGGTCCTGATAATGAATACCGTACTACATCCAGAGCACAGATAACAATATAATAAACAGCCATTTAATTGAACCTATGATTCAAACTTACTCATTTTTCTTCTTTTTCTTATTCTTCAGCATGTCATAAAAATCTAGAGCCTGTTTCTCTGCTTCAGTTTCATCACCTTTTCTTTTCATTTTTTTCTACAAAGTCAAAATAACAGAATGAAAATGATTGTGAGATTGAATAAAATGGGTGGTTTTAAAATTTTACACTGAACAATATCCAATATTCACAGTTTTGGATTGACATTGAATTATGATATTGTGCTTATAATGTGACAGTAACATATACTACTGGAAGTTCATTGTGCAAATATAAGCTTATGATGAATATGAGGACATTAATACCATCTTTTTCTGTTGTTTATTTTCTGCTTCTGAATCAGAATCTCCCATCTGTCTTCTTTCTTCTACCCTCTTTCTCACGCTGTCTTTTACCTCTCTCCTAAAAATACAAATCATACAGCACTTATAATCTTATACAACACTACAACACAACACAGAATGTAAGGGATTGAAGGATGCTTCTGGTATTTTATAAGGGACATCAATGGCTTCCATTAGCTCAAGTCTATCTTATATACGGTATGAAATTCCAAAATATTGCAAAGAATAATCCAATAAAGAAAGGCAGTGTCCAATGAAAGATTTTTCTAAAAACAATAGAGTATCTTATATATTCAAAAAGTTATAAAGTCTGGGACTGTGATCACAACATTTCACAAATATATACCTCTTAAAAACTGGTTTTTCTGTTTCTTCTTCTGGTAAAGGAGCAAAGTTGATTTCTTCCCCTCTGTGTAATTTATCCATTATATTTGTAATATCTTTCTCTAATTTCTTATCTACTGGTTCTAACTCTTTTATTAACTAATGAAACAAAATAACAGTATTAGCTATAAGAACTCTTCAAAAGGGGATGACAGTTGTCACAGTAACTTACATGATGATCAGTATAATCCATAAAAATTCATGGTATTCAGCAAATACAATGCTCTCAAATTTTTCTGTTTGTCCCATTGTTAGAGTGAGAACTCGATAATGAACATTGATAGCTCTTTGGCTCTCCAAGTCGAGTTGATAGAGTCTATAAGTGCTGTAATTATGAAAATATCTTATTTTTTGTTATTGACACAAAATTGAGGTTTAAAACTTGTGACTTCTAGAAAAGCTTCAAGCCAATAGCAATAAATAGTAAAATTATAATATATAGAAACACACCTTTCTATATTGCACTAGACGTTTAATAACTGGATGGTTCATAGTTGGTATATGTTTGGCTTTTAACATTAAATAGAAGCTGATATTTACACAGTAACTGTAATCAAAACAATACAATATATATTATAACTATCCCCAGGCTATCCATTAACATAAATTTTTCTAAGAAAAGGGGCTTGGGGTATACTAAGCCCAGATGAAAAAGAAAATCTAATTTCAAGGAATATGGCAGATCTGTAGCTGATGTTGGTGATCATAAGTTAGGATGAATTTCAAGTGTGATCTTGAAACATTTCCTTAGATATCTTAATTAAAATTTGCTTTTCAAACAAATACAGACATTGTAATGTGCACTAGTCCATGTGCATACTGTACCCAAAGATTTAAATGAGCTTTTTGAACAATAATTAACAATTTTGTACAAGTATAAACCTTACCTTAAATTCAGGTGGAATTTAACTTTAATATAATCTGCAGCTTTATTTACTATCTTGCCTTCTTGTACCAGTTTAAACAATGGCTGTATGGTTTCTTTTACTTCTGTTAACTGCATGAGGTAAAATATAACTTAAGATTATGAGCAACGTCCAAAAACATTATTTCTGCAACACGGCTGGTTTAATGAGACACTTTTACCAAGGTTGATGAAATTTACCTTTGCAAAATGATAATGTAAGAAAGGGAAACATGTTGTATACAAACCTTATTTTTAAAATCCTCAATAAGGGTCAATAACTCTGGTGATTCTTTCTTTAAAAGCTAAAAGACAATTCAGTTAGAAAATATTATCATTACAATGAGTGATTGCAAACTCTGTAGTCTCAGATGACAGGTTGTTAAAAAGATTACTCTTAATCTTATAAATCCAAGGTTTGTACCGTATACCAAAAAAATATATTATGTATTTAATGATATATTATATTTATCCATACAGTTTCATTTGAATTGCAAATGTTGTCTGGTCTCACCTCAAGCTTTTCTCTCTTTGACAGTTTGGATAAATCTTTTACGATTTTTTCTTGATTTTCAAGTTCACCATCTACCTTCTTATCAGGCTGAAAATAAAACACAAACTTGTCAATATGCATTATAGATTGGAAAAGCAGGAGACGTAATATAAGTGTTTAACTTAAGATACAGTTACAGACTGAGCTATCAAACCACACTAGACATCAATATCTACAGAAGTATTAATGACCACACAGTTTGAAATAAAAGGGTTGCTTTCCAACTCATATGCCTTGACATTAGTGTAAGATTGGTTTTTAACTCACCAATTTAAATTCGTCTAAACCAAAATCATCCTCATCCATTTCTTGGACCATTTTTTTCTGAATATCTAGAGCTTCCTTTTCTTCCAAAATAGCTTTCTTCTGATCATTATCAGATCCAGATAAATCTAAAATATGATAACAGGTTTCAGGTTTGGCTTGCTGAAGGTGAAATCTTGAATTACTTTGAACCCCTTATGAGAGAAGAGTATGTGTGAGATGTGTAACCACTGAAGTTCGGTGCAGACGCATGATATGTACTGTACATCTGATTTAATTGTGTAAAAACCAAAAGCGAATTTTGTACTGGAAATGTAGTTTAACAACTGTATCTCCTTCATTCAAATGTTAAATATTGTTTACAAAAAAAAAATTATCAAACAAATCAAAATCAAAGCTTACCGACAAATTCATCAAAATCAGCACCATAAAACTGTGATCTCTTTTTACCCCAGCCCTTTCTTTCTTTTCCATCTACAGCGAAAAAGTCATAATAAGTACATTAGTTTAAACATCTCCTTTGAAACGTTCCATGCAAATTAGTAACCATGATATGATCATGTAAATATAAAACATATGGCAAGGATGAATTATAAGAATTTATGTAAAACAGGCCCTGAGGCTTCAGACTGGTCCTTGGCCAAACTTTCAGGTATTCTATAGTTACACAAATTTTGACAAACCTTTCTCATCATCCTCATCTTCAAAATCACTGCCCATCTTTTCTTTAATTTTCTGTCGTTTATAACGTAAGAGATGTGTGCGATATTGTGAGAAATCTTCATCACTAAGTAGGTCTTCATCAGAGAGCACGGATAGAACTTCTTCCTGTAAATAAACAACAGATAATCTCAACTGTTTACTATTTTTTTACAGAATGGAATTAAATGGGTTTTTTACAACCTACAATTCATAATAATAATATTTAACTCTTTAATTACATGGGCCAATATCAGGTCCAAAGTAATATAGTCCTGTTTTAACATTGGGATGATACATTATTATTTTAGTAGGTCCCGGGTCCAAAAACATTTCCAAACCAGCTTTACTTATGATGGATTTTGTACACTTTATCAAAATACATGTTAACATGAGATGAAATAGATTATTTACCTCTTCATCTGAAGCAGCTGCATTGTATTTTACACCTGAATCTAACAAAACCTATAAATACAATTTATCAATGTCAATACAAATTCCAGTAGGATACCATAACTTCAATGTCTTTATTTTTAAACTTTACTTTGAACTTAAATTTCTTTTAATTATCAAATTTGTTTTAACCATTATATTCTTTTGGACTTATACATAGATATTTCAAATTAAAATACTGATTTATAACACACCTTGTCGCGTCCAGCATGAAATTCATCAATATCATCATAAATATAATCTCTAGAATCCACCTCCGGGTCCTGTATATTGGTATAGGCTCGTTCATCATCAGAATCCAATATGGATACATCTTGAGGTTTAAAACCCTTCCTTCTGTAAAATGGAAATCAGATTAGGTAAACAGTCAGAATGTGAAAACATAAATCTATTTTTTTATCTGTCCAACGGCATCCCTTTCACTAGTTTCAGTGTCAAGTTGACTCTATAGCCCCATATGACAATATGAATCTCACAACATCCCTTTCTCTCAACCAAAAAATACATACCGGGTACACATAACAGTCCAATTGTCAGTGATTCAGTGATATCCCTCTCAATATGATCAAAATCGGGGTTAAGAGTTTTCGGTTAAAATGATGCCGATAGTGACTGATTTCGCATATTATAATTTCTCCATTTTGAAGAGGACTTTGGACTGAATATTGGCAATCATTCAGTGATCTGGGCGATGCAAATGATACCAAAATGGTTAAGAAGTAAGTCCTACCTTTTACCCATTATTCCTGATCGTCAAAAAGACTTTAATCAAGAATATACTTTGTAAATAACGGAGTTTGTTTACAAATCAAAAACACGTGTAGGATTAAATTTACCTCCTTTCGAGGAGAACAGGTGAAAGAAAGATAACTCTGTCAGAACTTGTCAAATTCAGACTACGTTTAATTTCGTATAATTTGAAAAGATTTTCTCCTACTTACCGACAAGAATATTTTATACAGATTTAATGACCATCCTGTAAAATTTAGCACCTTAAACTGACACACCTTCCAATCCAGAAATGGATCATTTGATCTGTTTCCGATTCAAATTGTCTTTGTATGAAATCTACATGATTCAGTGTTTCCCTCTTTTCCAGTTTTCAACAAAAATCATTGGAATGTTAAGACTTAAAAAAAAAAACTCATTCAAGACAAGCACTTTAATGATAAAGAAAAGAAATTCCACCATTTATAAAGTAACAATTGTATAAAAACATAGAAAACTAAAAACAATGATAGCTCCATACAACACGGACATAAGCATTTAAGAAAACAGTTGGACTGGACAGGAGTCAATGGCATTACATTAAAAAATTTCCAATTATCTTCCTTGCTCTCTGTGAATGGTTGTATCATTGGAACTTCAAAAACTCTGATAGACACCATTCCATACAGACCACTATAGATAAATAGAACAGGCCATACTATATCTTTTGTCTCAGTGGAACATTTTGAAATTTTGGGGCTGGATACACAGTCAGTAAATTTCAGACTGTAGACTAGTATCTATAGGCCTACATTGTCTAAGAAAATCACCGCAATCAAGATACAGAATTATGAAAAAATTACACATAAGTTAATTAAATTAATAGTCACACAATGCAAAAAAATTGACTAGAGCACCAAAACACACAATTTTTCGTTAAAATCTTTTCTGTGGGTTTCTTTAATTATTCTAAAACTAGAACCTTTAATATAGCAAATTTTTTCAGAATGGCACAGAAATAGATGAATGTTTTTTTTTTTTTTTTACATCTGGAATCTAAATTCCAAAATGGCCATTGCTGTGGTTATTAATCAATCAAAGGACGGCATAGGAATTTAAGTCACTGTCAAAAACAGAAATATCAGATTTTCTTAAATTCCTACAATGTACTGAGGGCTGAGGCATCAATGCAAGGCCTGTTATTCCTTGGTTGTAACATTTGGAAGGTTTTGACAAGCCACAAAAATGGAATTATTGTCAGCTGGCCAACAAATCTACTTAAAATGAAATTAAACTGAATAATATTTCACATTACTGAAGATATTTCATCTAAATTCTAGCTTTTCACATAGTGGGACATTACAAGTTTAAAATGTTTTTAGATATGTTACACAACCTGGGACTATACTAGGAATATGTCACAGTGACATAAATTCAAAGTATGAAAAGCCAAGATTTAGACTAGACTATTATATATAAAACTACATAATTCCACAAATGTTACATACTAAAAATACTATTATCAGTATCTAAAAATCAATAATCAATAAGTATATACCATCAGATCAGGGAGTAAAGATTTAGACATATATTTTACTACATAATTCTACATTTGTTACAAAAAAAAAAACTATTTTCAGTATCTAAAAATCAATATAAGCTACATTATGCTTAATATTACACGAAATTATGCAGATAATTCATTTCTTAATACACAATGCACACAACATTCAGTATGCTATACTAATTGAGTATTCTGATATATTGCCAAGACACAGGAAAACATTTTACTTGGTTGAAAAAGTGCTAACTAAGCATAGAATTTGCCCTTAAAGTGCCACCAATATAAAATGCTGTGTACAGTGTTTGTAAATATTAAAACAAATGTATTTCATTAACAAACTCCTTATTAAACTACAACATTGCCAATTTAATCTTCTATAAGATAATAAATGCCAAGTGAGAAATTTCATTCTGCATGATCATATAATGTAATCACTCCATTGACTGTAAGCCAAAAAAGATATTTTGTATCAGTAATATGATCTTAAAAATTACATACTGAAAGTGGAAGCTTTCTTATTATAAACAGAAGATGGTGAAGTTTCAGGGTGTAATATATTACCATACATATTAACAACAACAATTAAACAACACAGTAGAATAGGACCAATAAACGCCCCTTCCAATCCCAAGCAATACATACCACCGGCTATGGCTAAACCTGTCATAAATGGATGCCCTCCTTTAATTTCACTGTAAATTGCTGTATCAACAATATATGCTGGTAGCATATGAATAACTATCAGCATGATTGCCATAACTCCTTCGCCTTTCAGCACCCACAGTTCCAGAGCCCCTGGGAAGGCAGCCCAATATGTACCAACAAACGGTACAGCCCCGAAGACAGCAGCCATAACTGATGGTATGAAAACAATATCCACATCCAAAACAACATGAGTTAACCAAGTAAAAAATCCATAAAAAGCTGACATCTTTAACGATGCCATAAAAACAGAACTAATTGCTTCTTCTACTGCTTGACCGAACCCAGAGCCACTTCCTGAGCTCATGCTTACGCTCGTAAACCATTCAACAGGTTTATATGTTTTACCACTAGACGCCAATAAATAGAATAGTGTGGTTAAAAAGATAACGGCAGAAAGAACAAAGTTCAAAATGGCTGTCCCACCACCAAGTATCATTGATATGATAGCAGAAAGAATTTGAGAAACTAAATTCATATTCCCTTTAATTACACTCCAAACTGAGTCCCATACAGACATAAATACACCAATATTTTCTTGAACGAAAGCTACAGCACTGGACATATCAAATAAATCATTTCCTTTAGAAGCATATTCCCATAAAGCAGTTATGTTAGACACATCAGGTAAGCTTAATTCACTTTTTTGTTTAGTAACAGTAACAGTGCTCTGAGAACGTAATGCATTAAATATTGTGTCCCACACCTCTAATACCTGCTGCTCAATGTGTGTGCTGTTGACTTGACCATCATCCACTAACTCTCGAACCTTCAGAACAATCCAATCTCTTCCATAGATATAAGCATTTCCTACCATTGAATCCATTGCATCAGACATGTCTTTCTGATCGGGCAGCCACTGACTAATCTCAGGATGTAGAGTATCATTCAGTAATGTACTGGTCATTGAAACCATCAGCATACTTTCTTGGTGAATCTGTATAACTCCTACTACAGTAAACATTATGGTTCCAATTACTAGAGCCAATATCAACAAGATACTTGTCATCTTATCCATTCCAGTCTCTAAAACTGAAATAATTTTGCCATCTCCTTTCAGAGCCAACTTTATTAATCCTCTTACAGATCTTGGTACTAGCACATCCTTTCGTGACTGAAACCAATCATTGGCCTTTGTTTTCAGTTCTTCTATCTTCTCTCCCATCATTCCTTCACTACTGACAGCAGCACCAAGCTTCTTAAAGAGCATTATCACTAATGGCAATACGAAAAATAACAAAATAACCCACAGATGCATCCATAAACGAACCAGTATATGTCCCCATAAAACAGCAATAAAACATTGATTTGGTAAAGAATTGCCAGAGGGTTCTGCTTTTGTCGTTTTGAGTGTTAATGAACTTGGTTTAGGTTTTTCTAATGAAGGTAAAGATGTGGTTTCCAATTCACTTGAATCCTTGGTGGTTGCAGACAATCTCTTAAATGTCCATTCTGTGTCAACTTCAGGCTTTGTATAGACTTCTGGTTTCTTCTCAGATTGGGTATCCTCTGATTCAGTTTCTTCTGTGGTTTGATTACTTTCTCCACGAACCTCAGTAATGAATCCAGTAATCATAACTGCAATCATTGCTATGAGCAAGGGGACCCTCAGTGATCCAGCAATAGTCGCTATATGAAGAGTAAATATTACCCATACTGGAATCGATAAATAGGACAGAGTTTGGTGAGATTCTGGAGTCCAAAAAAATATCAGAACTAAAATATAAGCTATAAATATTGTCCAGATCCATAGAGAGCTAAAATAATCCAGTAAGTCATACAAAAACCAAAACATAAATGTAGCAATTGATAGGATCTTCTGTAAAGGACCAAAGTGGTACACCAAATATATCAATGGCAGTCCAATCGCAACACTTAACACGGTTTTGAAGTTTGTGTTTATAAATTCACCCAGTTTATTTGAAAAATTATTGAGAACTGTTAGTGGCAAGATGGTCACACCAACTGCAATTGGAGTTCCAGAATTCTTTAGTCCCTTCATCCACTGTACAATACAATTTGTCAGTGACCGTTTTAAAGGATAGAGAAATGTTCCACACAATACCGCCCATAACAAAGGTCTAAGAAAAGCTTCTAGTATAAAATACACTGAAATCACTGCAGCAATTGCAACTAGAATCAAGAAATTGGAGGCTGTTGTATACACAGCCTGTTTCAGAGCTTTTTCGTGACCTTGTGGCACATATTGCTGCCAAACACTGCTCAGGTATTCCGATGGAGATGTCATTTTCAGGTTTCAAAAGGAATATTTTCGAAAATTTCAGATTAAAAGCAATTTAATGCTCTCCGGACTTTATAAGCCAAATAGAGTCTTTATAGTTGTTGAAGAAATAAGATACACATCGCTAGTTCGGTTTCTAAGTAGTAGTGATTCTAATCACTATTAGAGCAGGTGCTTGCATAGAAATAAGAATTAAATTCGAAAATGTGTTCGAAATATAACACAAGTTTGATTCAAAGTAGTTCCAACATTATTCCATATTGTTTTGATTTGCCTCTTATACATTTACGATTGCGTATAAATTCATGACATCTACATTGTATGTCAAAACGAACTGTCAATTTTTTTTATTTATTTATAACGTCTTTATTTACCTTTATTTTAAAGAGTTCTGATACAAGGGACATAATCTTTTTAGTAGACTACAATTATAAAATAACTCTTTTGGTGGAGAACATTTGATTCATCTTAAATGTAACTGGTTGAGGTTTGGTGATTAACCTAAGAGGACTTGATGCGTATGTCAACATTTGATCACAGAAAACTGCCATTGGGCTAAACTGGGTTCTCTATGAGACTCCATGTAAAATTTTGGACTATATATCCACAACAAATATTTATACTGCAATAGAGGATTATTACACAAGGAGCTTCACAACATATCTTATCACAACCCTTTTAAAACAAACTCAAAACAAATAAAGAGAAAGAAATATTTATTACAAATGATAGTAATATCAAATATCAACAAAGACATATTATGTACATATTGCACAGAATGTGAATTCCCTTCTCATATTTGAAAACAATTGAATCAAAAATACAAAAAATCTCTTTTTTTGGTCAAATAAAGTTTCAACACGATATTAAGTATTCAAACATCATCAGTCCAATTCCACTGGAAGAACATATTCCTCTTTCCTCTGTAATAGAAAGATAGGGCAGAAGATAGAAAGCAAGCAGTCTTAAGCTGAGTATTAAATAACAAAGGTTATGAAATAGTGAAAGGAAGTAAGGAAGTTAACATTAGGTTTAAAGGAACTAAAGGAACTATATTTATTTTTTTTCTAAGGTCAGACCAATTTATTTCCTTGTTTTCCAAAAACCTCCTTGGCAGGAGGAAAAAAAATAATATCAAATTTGTGCGAAGAGCAGGAGACAATTTTTTTTTTTTTTTTAATCAGGAATGAAAGTCGTTTCTTTTTCAGCAGAGCTGATTTTGAGGTTTTGCTTCTTCTGATTTGTGCAAAATTGAGGTAGAAGTTACAATAAACTAGAAAAGAAACTGGTCTGGCCTTAAACAAAAGAGAGTAAACAATAAACTAAAAAGTCTTACTCAGCATCATTTCATCTGGGCACAAGTCGTTTACATCTTTGAAAAATTCTTTCTTAGTTTTCTTTGATAGATCTACATAATTCCAGATTAAATTACAAAATGAGACAACAACAAAAGTATAAGATTTACCCAGATGTTGAAATACAATTATAAAATATTTTGATTGTTGTAATAGTGCTTGGAATAAATATATGAATAAGAGTGTAAACTAAGGCTATTTTAACATAAGGATATTTTGGCAACTTAAGGATTTTGGTTTTTGTGGGAAATTGATGATGATATCTGTAATTTGGGATATGGATTAAAAATAATTAACAAAGTAGTAAAAATATAAGAAATTGTGTGATACATTAAACTAGGAATGTTGTTTTTGTGTGCGTTGGTGATAGTTTTCTTCTAACAATGCAGGGAAGAGATTAAGCTAATATATGGAAAGAATCTACATTATATTTTGTAATACAATGCTTATTTTGAATTGGAATACAACTCAAGTCATCCATTAATTTGTGTTGCTACATTGAAAAAGCTAGTCTAGATCTGGAAGGATGACCAATATGATTCATTGCAGATCAATATGAATACACAGATATAGCAGTGTGTTTTAGAAGAGTGAGCATACCATGTGTGCAAAAATCACGCTACAATGCAAGTGTAGAGTAGCTAGCATAAAGAGATTTTATCACAGAAGAGTGTCTTTCAAAACAAAAAATTACATAAATTCTAAGTCACATCTAACTCATATAAAAAAGACATTTAAATTGTTCTAGCACCTAAATGTTACTTCAATTTAGGATTTGAAAATTCGTCATTATTAACAATTATTTCCACCTCTTGATAAGGAGAGTTCCCACGATACAATATATAATGTTGAACCATAAATAACACATCAAACAATATGGAGAAAAATCCTAAACCAAACTTGGTGGGGTCACCAAATATTGAATCCCAATCATCTGAAATACAAAAAAAAATGTTGTGAACGCAAGTAGACCAAAATTAAGGTGAATTTTATCCTCTTTTTTGCTCCTTGTTAGTCAGGAGAAATCAAACACTGTGCCATGAAGGAATTCATCATAACAGCAGCACCAGTCTTAGCTAGTTATTTTAAACTATTGATGATCGACTAGAGGCATTTTTTACCCCTCTAACCTGCATCAATGACTAGAAAGAATCTATGATAGTGTTAATATCTTAAGATCTGACTTACTGGACATTATGTGTTAGAATTTACTACCTCGTTTGTTAGTGATATTAATTGGTCTAGAGTTATTAATGTGTAATGAAAAATTGAAAGTAAAAATTAGACTTACTACTGTTGTATGCTAACAAGAGCATCTGTAATACACTAAGACTACCACCAGTACAGTCTAATAAAACATTACCAATACTCCAACCATCAGTACTCTTTCTACGGTAGTTCATGTAGGCCTGAAATGTAATAATTTGATCCATTGATCTATAAGAATTTTTTTTATTTGAGTATAATTCATACAAGTTATACTATTAATAATATCCATTTATCTAACACTCATATTCCCTTATGCTTTAGAGTCGATGGCAAGAAGACTTATTATGTACTAGATTTATTGTAGATTACTGGAACCGGTTTTTATGTTCAACACTAAATACTAACTCTAACTAACTTTACCTTATTTTTGTTATCTAGCAGATCTCTTTGCCAGTATTTAACAAAATCAATAGGCCATTGAATGGAAGGGTAATTAGAGGTTTGATTAAACAGCACATTAGATATTCAACAAACTGATTGTCTTACCTGAGGAACATATTTAATAAGAGTAACACCAAGTTTAATATATGAGAAGTAATAGAGATATGTTAACCATGTAATAACTCCACCAGCTGCTACTCCTAACGTTACCACAGAGAATAATATAGCTATACCCACTAATATTTTACAGAATTTTGATATCCTCTGGTTTCCTCTCTAAAAAATATAAATAATGATATTCAAAAACATAAATTAATGATATTTTACGCAGTTGGTTTTAAATTTCGCATTACATATAAAGTAATGTCTGGTTCTCAAGCCGATGGCTTGGTTGTTCTATTTTGTTAATTTCAGATGTTGCTGTCATGTGTGGTCGTGTTTTGATACAATACCACACCCATCAAACTGACAAACATGTATATTCAAAACCCTAATTGGTATAGTATCATGTGTCTAATTACTCACCTCATATATAATACATTGAAATATAGTAAAGAGTGTAATAAAAACAGCATGTATAGTAAATATCACATCATTTAACTGTACAGGATTGATACCTCTTGGATGTTGTCTTTTATACTCATTCTGAAATCAAAAATAAATTCTTATAAATTAATTTGGTAGATAGGATCGTAAGATGACTGACAGTAGTCTGACTCTTCAATACTTTTGACTGATATAAATTTATTTTTCACTCTTGTGGGCATACATAACAAGAATGAGAGTTTAACTTTAAAAATGTTAGTTAAATTCAGTTAAATTCTGGTGCATCCAAGGTCTATACAAGCGATATAAAAGGCATGGGATGTTACAATTAAAGAAAATATTCAAAACACAATACACAAAAAACAATGAGCGTCATCATTCAAATCTATATCTCAAATTATGTACATAATAGCTGGAGGGTGGTACTTTTCAGGGCTTTGAGACAATTCAGTAAAGCTGTCATTCTGTCAAGCAATGTTAAGCTGCAAGCTGTATTGTATACCTCCATCAAACAGGGCCTAGGTTTAGTCAACAAGTTTTGAGCAAAGGGTAAAAATCACATTGTTGACACAAACAGCTTGAGCACAAAATAGCTTGAGCACAAAATAGCTTGAGCACATAACATCTTAAGCACATAACAGCTTAAGCACATAACAGCTTAAGCACATAACAGCTTAAGCACATAACAGCTTAAGCACATAACAGCTTAAGCACATAACAGCTTGCAAGACACATGATATACCTTTACACTACCAATCCAATACAATCCAACATTAAAGAAACCATAAGCCAAAAATCCTAATAGATTGTAAGCTATATAATCAAAGTTCAAACCAACTACACTGAAACAGAGATAGATATCTTTAACTAACCTTTACATCATCTATCCAATACATGCCTACATTGAATAAACAATAGGCTAGAAATCCTGTTATATTATACGCTAAAAAGTCAAAATTTAAACCAATAACACTGAAATATAAGTACAAAAGCATGAATATATAAATAAAAGGCAATAATAAATAATGCGCAAAATCATAGCCCTATATAGATGAGTCTAGGTGATACCACTAGAACAGTAGGCAAAGTTCTTAACATACTCTTATATGTAAATTCACTGCTCCTTATTTATCAAAAGGCATTGGTAGATTTTTTCAGGAAATGCATGGATGATCCATGATTTCATGGAATAGTTTATTCTTTGGCTTCAATAGTCAAAAATACAAGAATCAGGAATCAAATCATGACTAAACGGATGATCCATGATTTCCATGAATCAGTAGTTTAAAATTTGTCATTGGAACTAACCTTTTTCTAAAATAATTAGAAAATACTTGTGGATAGAAAGATACAGTCCATGCTGCAAAATACAGCCAACCAATGACAGCGTTGATTGTGACTAACATTGTTGCATGGTAAACATCAATTCTTACAAATACATTGGTTAAACTGAAATATAACATTTCATTCTTAAATTCAACATGGCTATAGAATCTCAATATAAAGGTAATTAGTACTCTATTTCAATTAAGTTAATCACTGGTGCATATCATAAGGAACTCAATTGCACCTTTAGGAGAGTATCTTCTATGACAGCTCATGGTCTTAGAAGTGCAAAGATCTAATACAATTCAAAAAGACACAATACACCGAATATACCAATTCACTCAGAAAAAAAAACAATACTCACTCATCAATATCAGGTGATGTAGAATTAAGACCAAGAGTCAAATGACCAGGATTACGTGACTTCACTAAAAATGATATCTTCTTTGTACTATTAGCTGGTATCTCCAGGGGTGGTATAGGTTCTATTAATTTTGTAGCTTGACTAAATTCTATCTTATCATCTATATCATAGGTAAAATTCACTGTAGCATTCTCATGTAATATACCACTAAATGAATAAAATTACAATATTGTTAAATTTAAATGTAGGGACAGGTGCACCATGTTTTTTTTTTTTCCAATCGTACCTTAGTCTCAGAAACGATGATTTTTTAGTGTTGACAGCTCACCATCGAAATTTGAACCTTCAAATCCATGTCCAGAATTATCCATGTTTGAGTGGTCTTTTTAACTTTCTTTATTATATTGAGAAAAGACATATATGGAAATAGTAAGTGAAACTCCTAGTTTTGAGGTATTTTTGAAGAAACCTTGTGATTTTCGTACATTCCTAGTATTTCTGAAGACAATTTACATATATTCAAAACCCAAATCAACTCCTGAAAATGGTGAATCTGTCCATTTAACACTGAATGAAAAAGAAGATAATATACAGAATAGTTGTTTCACTTGACTGAATTCCATACATTATACAATAGAATCTAGTATTCATTAAAATTGAATAAAACTATGAAAATCAAATCAATAATAGAAATTTTATGAACAGCTGATAATTCAATGTATTTTTTTATAAATAAACAAATACAGCTGACAAGAGTCTGTTTTATATAGCTGACACGTATATAGTTTATATATAAAATGCATCTTCAAAACATCTGTTTCAAAAGGTAGGTTATCAATATTGAACTTTTAAGAAAAGTTATAGAAGCAAATTTCAAATTATACCAAAGCCCTGTACTGGATGTAATGTGGATTTTATTAGACTGTTCCATGACAATGGGTATGCCTAGATAAAATACAAGTTAAAAATCACCTTGACACCTTGAACATGTACCAGCACTATTTAGAGTCAAGAGCCGCCATTGTGTGATGAAATGCTTTTGTAGTTTTATGGAAAATTTGCATCAGATCTTGTTTAAGTCATGATTCTTCTAAGAAATTTCGAACAATTTGCCAAGAAAATGTCAAACTTTTAAATAAAAAAATATAGACTCTCACAAATAATTTGAAACACAAATGAAACCCTCAGAATCAGACATAAAAGTCAAGTGTTGAACTGTGCCATATTTTGAAAATTCAATTTCATGAGTAAAACATGCCTTAAACCAACTCTCAGAACAGCAGCATGGAAGTTGAAATGCCATCATGTCTTACCTTGGAATGATAAAGTGTCTTTGTTCTTCATTTAGCTCTATTTCTATAGAAGAAGTAGAAAATTTGACATCAAGACCATTGCTGTAGCCAGCTACAATAAAGAATAATATACTATAATAGATAATCAAGGTAAAAAAATAGAAACTGAATATTGAGTTGTAAGATGTGACAGGTGTGAATTATTACTTTAATATATCACAATGTTCACTGACAAGTAAGGCCACACCAATTTACATTTCATTTGACAGATTTTCCTACACATATTTTACAAGATCTTTAATCTTTTTAACATGAATTTCTATTTACAAGAATTTTGAATAAAAGTAAAGGTAATGAAATTTTTAATCAATGTGTTTAAAAAAATACTTTGAATATATAACCAATCATACATTTGAAAGAAAGTAAATATAATCAATTTTGGCAACAATAAAAATGTCTCAGAACTTAAAAGATGTCCTTAATCACTTCAGGCTTGTAATATATTAAAAAAAATACATACAATAAATGTATTTTTACAGAAAATGAAAAGACATTCACAATTTCAAAATAATTCTTGAATTTCTGAATTTTGTGGGGTTCGTTATTCCACAATTCATTAACTAGTGCATTTATTTGGGCTTTTTTGTGACAAATCATAATTCATATCATCAAAACTAATGCATTTAATGAAATGAATTTGGGAATTTTATATAGAGTCCTGTAAAATTGAGATCAAGTAATTATTCCTCATTTTCACTTTCATTATCATTGTCAGTTGTTGATTTCAATCAACAAACAGACAAAATCATTGAATAAATTTAGAAAAAAGAAAAGCCCAAAAATTTGGAAAACGAATAAAAACATCCAAAAGAAAAAATTGGTTAAATATTACTTATTTAAGGTTACAACAAAACCAAAGTGAAACAGTAGAGTTATTGTCTCATATAGCCATTACGGGTCTTGTTAACTTTTCTAATTTATTGAATTGTTCTGTGAATCATGTAATAGATAAATGACATTAAATGCCAAAGTCAAGGACACAGACGCAGTAATGAAATAAACAGTTTGTTTAGTAACTGAGTACACATCTGCCTCTGTTCCAACCTCTTATTACTAATTACTTAATTGTCGGCTACTGTAGAGACAGAAAACTAGGCCCTGTTTTGTGGAGAATTTTCGCACCTCTGAAAGTGTGGGAGTTTTAAGCCTTTTCATCTAAATCGGATTCCCCAAACCCAAAGTTTGATAATGTTTCGCATTATCAAATAATAAGCAACTAACGAGGAGTAACTGTCAAATTACGACAAACATGCGTGTACAAGAAAAATCTACACTTGATCAAGAATACCTACCAATTAAAAATAATACTAAGAAACAAAACAAGTTCATTGTCTTTAAATAAGAGTTTAAACAATGGCCCAAATAAACTTTTTATTCTATTCAATATTTCTCGTGACTTTGTTTAACGTTCGCCATTTTAAGATCACATGACCCTTAAAAATCACGTGACGAGAAAAACATAAACATGCAAACAAAATGGCCACGAGTTTAGCAAGGTTAGAAAAATTATTTTTTATAACTCCCAAGTATGGATGACATTATGTCTGAGATTGGGTTTTTTAATCTGGCTGAATGTGTTTATGTTGGTTACATGTAGACCGAAACATCTGTCTCTATTCCAGCCTCTGATAGTTTTTTGGACAGATGTCAGCTGGTGTAGAGACAGAAATAATAAGCCCTGTTAAATGGCGACATTCCGCATCTCCGCAGGTGCTGGGTTTTTAAACCTATTTACATACCTTGGATCCGCAAAACCCAGGTATATTTGGAAAGATGAACATTTTCTCCCTACACCCCCATTCATGTCATATCTCAATATTATGTTAGAAAAACGCATCTTTGGTTGGAGGTGTGGAAAACCCCCATTTAACAGGGTCTTTTTCAGCTGACAACTGTCAAAATATCCATCAGAGACTGGAATGGGGGTAGATGTTTCAGTCTAGGTTACATGTCACCATAATCCTAAGCAATACCAAACCACATGTGTGTTATGAATCATTTTATTTCATTTATTTCAGATTAAAATCCACCATTTGTCAAGCATGTCGACAGCAGATAGTGTCAGTACCAGTGCGGTATAACTCTAACAGAACGTCAGTATGTCGGTTGAACAGAGGATATTATGCTAGAATGTATCCTACTGTATTAGTTCTCCCTAATGGTGCCTCATTAAACATCAGATATAGAGAACCTAGAAAAATAATCAAGGTAAGTGAAGATGATATTTAATTAAATGCAACCATATTTGATGACATTGCAAATTTAACTAAACTATCATAGTACAATGAAGGTTCAAAAATAGTCTAAATTGAAATACATGAAAATTGCGATCAAATGAGCTATTTATAACATGGAGGCTCCTGTTATTTTAAAGCTGAAATTACACGATTATGTAGAATATTTCCCATTGGTATCAGATTCAAACTTATGATTAGATGTAAAAATTTCAAGATATGATGCGTTTTTAGGGAGACAGTGGTCCAACAACTCTTTTCATTTATCTAATTATTGCATGTATTTTCAGTTGGCAGTAGTATTTGATGACCTTACAGATGAAGAAAAGGAAGCTAGATTACGAGCGAGAAAACCTAAGAAGAAGATTATTATTGAAGATGAAGAGGAAGATGATTTCGATGTTGATCAATATAAGTATTTGTGGAAGAAAGGATGAAGGATATAAATTCAAGTACCAGTATTTAATAACTGATGTGTTTTAGAGGAATTTTGAACTCTAATCAAAATACAGCTCAAGATATTTTGTTTTGTAAATTTTCTCAGGGGCATTTCACTCATTCTAGACATGTACCAATTTTTCACCTTCAAATTCAAATAAATAAGGTTCGTTATTGAATTTCAAACATATACCATATTCAAACTTTGTATCAGTTTTGTATGAATTATTACAATTTTCAATTTAAAGAATGAGAGAAAATAGTCAAAAACCAAAATATCTGGAACTTTATTTTTATATTGAGGACATTTGAAGTGGTGTGAGATCATGTGTTATTAACTGAGCAGTCAACTCTTTGAATTTATGACAATGTGATTGAAAGAATTCTTGCTGATATCTCATAGATTTTTTTTAATAAATGGCCAGATTGTCCATATATTTGTTAGTCTATTAATCCATGCAGCTACTTGGTGAATATTTGATACAATTTTGAGCAAATCAGAAATAATGTAAAGAAAGATGGGCAACATCAAACAGTTTACGATGAGATACAGCAGCCATGGGTTACTTTTTCCACTATCTTGAAATGTTTAAACATGTACAGGGTCTGGATGGTTTATTTTCCCATATTATCAACATGACACAGGCTATTGCAACTAAAGTAATGAACCCTGAAACTTATTTCCAACCCAACAATCAACTTCCTTGGCTCAAGTCAAACATACAGTGTACCTCCTGGTCCAGGCCCAGTTTACCTGCAGAACTTCAATATATACAATAATTTAGCATTTCATAATTTATTCAATAAAATCAATTTTCATACACATTACAGATGAAGCACAAAATGAATAAAGTTTTACGTCCGACTTTTCTGCAACTGCCATGCAGGGTGCAATGAGGGAAATTTTGCCAGGACAGCTCTTACTCTTTTTCTATTTCCAACTGTCGAGGGATCTTTAATGTGCACAGCCTGTAGCACACAGGGCATCAGTTTATTGTCCTATCCGAATGACAAGACGCTTTTCTGTGTCAGCCACTCTTACCTGCATCACTGACAGGGGGAAACCTAAGGTATTATCTCCACCTATGTTGGGATTGAACTATGGAACTTCAGGTTAGCGAGCAAGTGCCTAACTCACTGAGCCACCGCGGCTCCCTACACATGAAGCACAGAACATTGTTACATTGTGATTCAAATTCTCAAATCAAACAAATTTAATTAGAAAATAGACAGACAGTTTTGATACTGCTGTTTAGAATTTATCATTGTATTGTAGTAAATAATATTCATATTATAAAGCAATGGGCAGTTGGCTTAGATCAAAAGACATCAACTATGGTTGTCCTTATTTTTGATCGGTTTTCATACAAAGGTACATATTTCTCAACATTAAACCATGGTTGCAATTGAGGCCATTTTATTAAATTTATTGTGTATTGAATTTGAATGCTGAAGTGAGCATGTCTGAAACCTCATACAGGTATGCATCAAATAATCAAATCTGACCCCTGTAGTTTCAGAATTTAAACTCTGCATGTATATTTTCCTTTTTTATATGCCAGGTCTCTAGATTATATTGAAAGCACCCTTGTCAATCCGTTCTCATTTTATAGTATCGGCAATTTATCTGATTTTGATCAAATTTGGTATATGTATACATAAACCTAAAATCAAATTTGAGCACTTCCCAGATATTAACTGCCCCAATATTAACCCTGTGATTTCACATATTGAAAATGCTATCATTCATCAACCTTAATTAAAAGGCCAAGGTTTTATTTATCTTGGTATGAAGATATATGATAAGTGATTGCTGTTGAAATTTTGACCCTTTGTTAACCCCTGTGATATCAGTAGCTTAAATGCAATAGGTCATAAAATCAAGTGATAAATTACAAAGATTTGATTTTAAACTTATGCCAGAGTTATTGCCCTTGTATTGTATACATAAGGTCTTGACCCAGGAGAGGGGTTATATAGGCGAAAGCCTGTTCCCCAATCCTTTGTTTGTGAAAAAAAATAAGTGTGTGTGCATTTTGCAGGGCTTCACATTTTCCATTAAAAACTTAGAGGCAGTTTGTCAGTAGGCCTAAGGAGTTAGGTTGTCATCTGACAAAACATTTGTGATGGCTTTGGTTTATTTTGCAAACCCAGAGTCAGTTTTGGATAACTTCTGTCACAATTTGATCCGAATGTTATTTTTTTGTAGGGGAACTGCTGAATATATTTAAGCCAATATTTATTACAGCAGTTTAATAACAACAAATTCAATAGCTCTTTAATTCTAAAATATACACAATATCACAAACACAATTATATTTTGTTTGAAAGTTAAAACTGTTTAATAAATGAACGAGTGGGTTCAAGATATAAAGTCCATCAAATCCCATTATAACTTTTCATACTTCTTCTTGACACCTGCAAATATATTTATTTATAGAATTATTACTAAAGCAAGTTATGATGACCTAATTAAAGGTCTTTCTGAACGGTTCCTTATTTTCCCCATTGTACACCGCAAAATGTTGTCCATCATTAGTCCAATCAATGTCCCAATATGTGTATGTCAGGTCTTCATCATGTGTTAAAAATGTCAAAGGCAGTTTGTTCCGAAAACAGCTATAAATCAATAATGAAATTATGAATTTGAAAATTTTGGAAGAAAATATGAATCAAAATATTTCTTCAATTTGGTTACAAATGGCTACTTTCCAATAACATTTCCAAAAAGTTCTAGAAATAAAATGATACATGGACCTACAGGCCAACCAGGTCTATATATTTGAATCTGAGAAATACAAATGGTTACTGACTTTTTTCAAATGGAAATCAGAATTGTAGTATAATTTGATTCTCTCAAAATATCGGGGAAAATGATTCTAGATAAATATTACTTCAATACAAATGCAATTGATTTTTCTTTTAGTTTTTTGTTTCATCTCGCTAAACATTGTACATATAGGATCTTTTTACATGAAGAGATTTTTGAACAAGTTCTACAGTCTATGAAATCCAGTAATCTATGTGTAAGTGTGTTAGGGTTAGGTGTAGAGTTAGGATTAGTGAATGTTGACTGATGCAGATGTATATAAATTTCTAGATCTCATAGACTGTAAAACTTACAAATCATCGAATAATTTTGAAAAGTACAATGTTAAGGATTTGACTAGTTCTAAAAAATAAACACTTTTGAGCACAAAAGGATCAAAATTTGATGACAAGGCTACTTCAAAGTAGCACTAATAGTTTTGAAAAGTATATTCTAAACATTTTCTAAATAAATCTTCATTTTCAGGAATAAATAAACCCAGGCAGGTTTAATAAATGTTTCGAATCAATTCCGATTTCAAAATCGAGTATCTAAAAGTTGATGGTTCAATATTACCACAGATTCAATTATTGCAGTTAATTGTAACCATCGAATGAGCGTTTCATATTCTTTTCATTTTCTTGCATTGTGTCATTTTTTTCATAAAATTTAGAAGGTTTCTCACACAATTTAAAGAAATGTAGCCATTTGTAAACTTTTTTCGAAATTAGAAAGTCTAAAAGTTGATGGTTCAATATTACCACAGATTCAATTATTGCAGTTAATTGTAACCATCTCAATGAGTTTTAATTTTTTTTTTAAACAAGAAAAATTTATGTCGATCCAATGATCAAATTAATATAAGATAATAATGTTGAATATTCAAATAAAGGAGCTAAGGGTAACTAGTTAATGTCTAAGTATGGGTCTGTCCTGTAGTCTTTCTCACCATGTCAATCATGTAATGGAGTTGTCTATAAATTTTAACACCTTTTTTTCTGACATGTAACCTAAAAAAATAAAAAATTTCACATACAATGAAACCACCAGAATCATATTTGTGGTATAAGATTTATAAAAAGTGCAATTCAGAGTTCATCAAGGTAACCAAAATAAAAATTTGTCTCCATTGAAAACCATAACTCCTTCGTAAGGGTGTCTATTGACAATATAAGGTACTATGGGGAAAATATCCTTATTTGCAGAAAGAATGGTACATGTATCAGTTTATTATTATCAAATATTACTACATTATCATTACTTCAGTTTTATTATTTTAGTATTACATTATTATTTCTTCGGTTTTATGAATTATTTACATTATTATCCTTTTGGATTAATATATATTATAACATTATCATTCCTTCAGTTTTATTCCTATCTTATATTATAACATTATCATACCTTCAGTTTTATTACTATCATATATTATACATTATCATACCTTCAGTTTTATTCCTATCATATATTATAACATTATCATTCCTTCAGTTTTATTCCTATCTTATATTATAACATTATCATACCTTCAGTTTTATTACTATCATATATTATACATTATCATACCTTCAATTTTATTCCTATCATATATTATAACATTATCATTCCTTCAGTTTTATTCCTATCATATATTATAACATTATCATACCTTCAGTTTAATTATTATATATTATAACATTATCATTCCTTGAGCTATATTACTATTTCTTTAATAAAATAAAATAGAATTAAAATAGAAGTCAGTTGATTCTCATGTTGTAGAAACAAAATAAACAGAAAAACAAATATTCAAATGGTTGTTACACTATGTTATCACTTTATGATCTTAATCCCACAGCTAGTCCCACCGCCAGAGTTTAGTATGCCACCCGATAGACGCAGGACCTGCCCAAGGTAGACCTCCTTTATCTGTTGAACACATGAAAACTGAGAATAATTTAGAAAAATATCTGGCACTAGTCTAGATTTGATCCCCCTGAAGCAAGGTAGAAAATATAGAATGTCATTTGATTTTGTAATGTTCTAATCTTTGCGACCGTGGGACATATGACATCACCTACTCATAATTGCAGCAAAAGGCCCCCTCATCTACTACATGCTTTACTTCGGCTGTCACGCTAGCCGCCGTCCCCTACCCAGTTTAGAAAAAAATAACATCATCAATCTTATAGCCATTCCTACAGAGGGAGAATTTCGAATATGTAAGACTGAAATCTGTCCAGTTAAAGCCAATAATTAGTTTTTGACAACTCCCCTTATCCTAAAGAAGTTGTATTTATAAACAAAGCCCCTGTTGAACTTGGAAATAAACTTATACTTGAGGTTGATTTCATGTCAAATGACTAAAATATTGTCCACATAAAATCAACCTTTATAAATCTGATGAGCTTTAAACATTCATTCTTTACATCTTATATGATACATAGCTCATCAGATTATAGCCACAGTGGGGGAAAGACTTGAATTGGGAAGAGAAAATTTGGCCAGACTTCCCTTTAGCCTAAAGAAGTCATCTTTTCTCTTCAAACAAAATAGGATTTTGAGATTGACTTGTATAAAAACACATTCACACATTTACTGTAAAGTTCAACAGGCAGCATAAATAAAGCCAATAGATTCTCAG